ACATTTTGTAGCTTTAGAGGTATACCATATTTTTGTTATATACATATCATGTTTCATTATTTTAAAATTTATAGTAAGTATATGCATTTACAGAGACGTGTATCTGGACTTGCGAAAGATTATAAAAATCGGAGGGTACCACCATTTACACCACATCAACAAAATCAGTATATGCGTAATATCCCAGATTTTCCTCAAATCAAGAATATTCTGGATAGTATAAAATGATTCGAGTTTATGTTTGATTTTTAATTATAATTGGGTACATAGGAAAATCAAATGGTAAAAAAAACGGATGCGTAACATTTTTTATTATATGCAAAGTGAATTATGTGGTGTGTAATTGTGCTTCGGGAAAGTGAGATAAATAAAAAATGACTGCTGATTAAAGCATTGTATATTTGTATATTTTATGAAACGGAACACACGTGATTTTACTTTGTGTGACCTGTTACATAAATCCTAAGTATAACAGCATATTATAAATGATTTTTTGACGTCACGGGACGGGATCAGAAATTCGGCCAATCGAATTTTAGATACACCTTGAAAAAATCCATATAAAAAAGGTCTTCATAAAAAATCAATTTTTACGCGACTGAATTTTAATCATGTCAAAAAACGAAAAATCGCCACTAATAAACGTCGAGGATGACACTTGTTTCACATATTCTTGTGAAGTCGAATGTGCTACTAACCATTCTAATAATTTATCAAAAGACTCTACATTAGAAGTCAGATTAAAAGCTCTTTTAGATAGAGAAACGGAATTAAAACTACAAATTGATGAATTAATTGAAGAAATTACGAATTTAGAAGCAATTGCGAGAAATAGAAGTAAAAGTAATGGTGGCAATGAAGAAGAAAATAAAGAAACTAAAAAGAATGGTATTAAAAAAGAAGTTGTTGAAGGTAATGAATTATTGAGCATTTGTTATAAGATTGAAAATGATTAATGTTAAAGTTCAATTAAACCTTTTATAATTAGAAGTTTGTTGGGAAGAATTCGAAGCTCCAGAATGGTGTGTGCCTATAAAAGCTGATGTATTAACGTTTGAATGGGATGTAAGTACAATTTCGGAATTCTAATTTTCCTATTTTTTTTTTTACGCGTTTATTAAAAAATTTATCGTACACAAATAGGAACTCGCTAAAGAATGTCAATTTGATGTAATTTTAATGGATCCGCCTTGGCAATTAGCAACACATGCCCCAACACGCGGTGTAGAGTATTATATGAATTCTCTTGTCATTCTTTCTTATAGCAACAAATGAATGACGGATTAAAGGTTCGTGTAATTGTTCTCACCAAACAAAGTTTGTTATCTTTTATTTTTTTGGTGTATATATATTTATATAAAAATACAAAGGTGGCTATAGCTTATCAACAATTGCCGGATGTTTGTATCGAGGAATTGCCGATTCCTCAATTACAGAAAAATGGATTCTTGTTTATCTGGGTCATTAATAATAAATATTCTAAAGCCTTCGAAATGATGAAAAAATGGGGTTACACGTAAGGATTGTTTTCGATAAATATTGTAAATTTGTTTCATTTAATTATATGAAATTTATTTGTTGCGTTTTTTTATTGCATTAGGTACTGTGATGATATTACATGGGTTAAACAAACGGTGAATAGAAGAATGGCTAAAGGACATGGATTTTATCTGCAACACGCGAAAGAGACATGTTTAATGGGAAGAAAGGTAAGGAATTTCTTTGGTTACCATGTTTCATTAATATAATAAATTTATTATCTTTACTACAATTTTCAAAAAGGGAGAGGACCCTCCAGAATGTAATCATTCAATTTCTTCAGATGTGATATTTTCAGAAAGACGAGGACAAAGCCAAAAGCCTGAAGAATTATATGAGATGATTGAAGAGTTGGTTCCTAATGGTAGGGTTTATTGTTAACTAAATTTCTTGTTGCTTTTTTTGTTTATTTACGCGTCCCTTAATTTTATAGGAAATTATTTAGAGATATTTGGACGGAAAAATAATTTGAGAGATTATTGGGTGACAATAGGAAATGAATTGTGAATGAAATTACGGTTGTACGATTAGAATATTTAGAATATTACTTGCCGTCATTTGTTAAAATAATATATAAATACGGTATATCGTAACAAAAATATCATTGACGCTCAATCGGAGCTTTGTTTGTAAAAATCATAGGCTACACCAAATAAATATTACAATTCGAACTACGATAAAGATCATTATTATTTTTTTCCATGTAGGAATCTCTATCATATGATTTAAATTGTAAAATAATATGATTGAATTTTTTTTATTCAGTATCGCTATTAATTTGTTTTCATTAAAATGAATCTGTGTATGGTATTGCAACTATAATCTGATAATCAATTTATCGAAAAAAAAGGCAGTGCAATAATAATAAATCTTACTTTTTTACGTTAAAAATCCATCATAAAATTATCATGTTCTCGCAGAATCTTGTGTCTAGAACAGCATCTTGCTGCCTCAAAATTCAGGATTAAGAAATGTTGAATTCTACCGGCTCAATCAAATCTAAAATGGAAATATCAACTTGTACGCTATTATCATCAAAATGAAAAATTCATATTCATCCTCCAAAAATTACATTACAACCATTTGCCATCCCTCCTAGAACATGCTCATATCCGAAAGTTTAGGAGCAATGCCCGTATTGTCATTGTGGAAGGAAGGTGTTATCAATGTCTATTGAGCTTGAAGATTTGATAGTAAACATCTAATGAATATAGTGCATTTTTTAAGACGCGAAATATCGAGCTAAGCGTTCCATTAGTGTATCTAAAATGTAGAAGATAAAATAGCGGGCTGGTACCAGGGGGGGATCACATAAGACCCTTTCTTCATAAACTACGCCAGAAAACCCAAATACCAAATAATATAACAAAGATTCCATTTAACTTAAGAGGTACATGGTAATCGATCTGTAGATACAATCAATATTGGAATTGCCTTGATTAAAGGGGCAGCAATGTCCTACACCCAATTCTGGTTTCGTTTCTAAATTATTTGTATAAATAATTTTTTATTTTTTATGCAATTTGATCATAGCAATTCACCCCAATTGTCTTTCCAAGAATTCAATTACTCCAACTTGTTTTTCTCTTTCTCTAATTCGTTTCTCTCTTCTTCTAAATCTTCCTTCTCCCTCCAATCTTTACTTTTCTTCATCTTTTCGTTTTTTAGTTTCTACTCAACTCCACGTTTTCAACTTGTCCAACCTCTTATCCCATTTATAATATTTTTTTTTTTTTTTACATCTTCCAATTCCTTTTCAATCCTCTCAACATACTTTATTGTCGAATAATAAGATTATCGACCTATGTATGTATGAATTTTAATTAAACATGAGAACGATAAGTAAAATTTGGTTGATAAATTAGCGTTATCACTAAATCACCAAAAGTAACAAATTAACAAGGGATTATAAGTATAATAATCAAAAAAAAAAAAAAAAAAACGATAATTAAATGATTTTATTAAGGAATGAATATTTAAAGAAAAAAAATTGATTTTTTTATTGTATTAACATTTTTCATAACTTTATATTGTCAACGGAAGAAACTACAGCTTCTAATATCACGTGGGATTTACCGATCAATGATGATCTCACATTGGATGATCTGCGCCAAACAGTGATCTGTTTCGCCTGTTTCTTCTGGTTTTCCTGTATTTCTGTTCTGCCTGTTTATTCTGTTTATATTTTTTCATCAGTAATCCTTTTAAAGTCTATAATTTAATTTATTTCTTTTTTAATTTTTATAGTTTATTTTATTTTTATTATTTTATTACGTTTAAGTGTATTTTTATTATAACATATATTTAGTTTATAGTGTAGCAAATAGTTAGTCATAGCAAATTCATTTTGCATAAATAAAATAACTTTTAGCTCAAGTTGTAAATTAATTTTATTATAAGTTTTATAACTCTTTTATGAGTTTTAAGTTATTAATAAAGGAATCAATTAAAATCTATAAAAATTACTTTTCACTTTAATGTTATCTCTCATCTAGGATTTGTTATGATATTATATACTAACTTTCTTTCAAGTTTATCATTTGAATTCAACTAAATAAATCTAAGATGAATAAATCACATAATTGATCTTAAGCATAACAGATACCTGTAGAAATTAGAGAATATCCTAAGGTTATAAACTCTAATAAGTAGAATTAGTATGACTTAAACATTAAGATAACTAAAAATAAATCTGATAATAATATAATAATTTTTTTAAATTCTTAGAAGTCAACCTACATCAGATTTTTTGAAGTTTTACACCATTTGTTAAGAATCTATGTGTTTTATTATAGGATAACTAAATACTGATCAGCTATAAAATAACAATTTCACATAAAGTTATCATAGTTAAAACTTTTATTATAAGGATCGTTACCAGTATTATAGACAACTAAAAATAATTAGTTTATCATCACTACTTGCTTTCAGTTCAACTAGATTCTTATAAATTTTACTACTAAATTAAGATAAGTTTATTATAATTTTATTTATTTAAATTTAAATATAACTTTATTAGGTTATTTTTTACCATTTAAATGATTTGCTAAATCTTTAAGTTTGATTTAATTTGTATTTAATTTTTATATCTAATAAAATTTTATTATTTTTATTTTAATTAAATTAAATTAAATATAATAAAATTAATATATTTTAAAAAATTTAAGTAAAAATAATTATTTTATATTAAATAAATATTAGTTTAATTATGTAATAATAAAATACTTTATATAAAAAGTATTAGAATTTAATATTAAAATTATTTAAGTAAATAATTAAATTTATTAATATATAAATATAATGTTTAATTAAGCATGATTTACAATCTTTATTCTAAATATAGTAATTTAATATTATAATCATGATATATGATGTTTTATTAATAAAAGTAAATACAAGCCACTATAGAATTTCTCCTTAGCATATATAATGGATAATAAATTTATAAGTCAGGACATTCTTTAAAAGCATAAAGCTAGAGAGAATAAAACACTTAGCCAATATAAAACACATTTTGCAAAGTAACGTGAAAGCAGGCGGTAAAAAGAGCAGGAAAAGATGCCAAAGAGAAAGAGACGTATGTCGTACATGATAAAGAATAAAAATGCGTAAAGTTAGTAATAGAAATAGAAGAATAATGAGAAAAGTGTTTTAATTATTATCGTGAACAAAGAAAATACTTGAAGAATATTCAAAATATAATAGATCAAGACATAAATTCACGATGACTACTACTGCAGCAAAATTCTTAAGATAATGAGACAGATACATATACTGAACTAAATGCATTTAGTGAATCTAAATGAAAACTTCTAAAGAAATTCTGTGATAAAGTTGATAAATTTAAACATGTTCATTGCCTTACATGTAATAAAAACTTTCTATTCATATTACTTGTAAAGGAAGAATACTGACGTTATTATAGTGAGAATATCAATCTAGAGAAAAATGTCATTATAAAAAGATTCTCAGTAAATAATAATATAGATCTAGGTGAAGTGCTTTATAAACTTCAAGATCTCACGAAGATTAAGAAAATGTTAATTACGAGAGTTTTTCCTGTAATGTTAATTTATAGGCTTTGTGAGAAATAACATGAATATTGTAGAAATATAATAAACTTTCCTTAAGATGTTCAAAAATTTGCCATAAGACTTTCTCAGCATCCATTATTATTAGATGTACTTATCATATGTCATCAATCTACAAGTAATTTAAAACCATTTAGGAATTTCAGAGTTTATTATGCTAAAGTAACTTGTGCATTAATATAGTTAAAAAAAATAATCATTATTATGCCAATGTAACCATTGATTATGAAGTTCTTAACTCTTTACCACTTGATAATACAATAGATGAACAGTTTTGAGAAATTAATGATAATGATGATTATGATAAAAATGAGAATAATGTGATTACATATACCTTCATTTCACTTCCTCCTTTAACTAATCGTGAAGACGTTATCATTAAAAATACTCTTGATCGAATATAGGATGAAAATCATCCTATAATATAGCTACAAATAAATGGCAATCTTGTTAATGAATTTCAGATGCCAGGGTATATTGCATATGTATTTCTAACCTTATATTCAACTAAATATACAAATCTTTACGCAGAATGTATTAGAAATGTAAAACCTGCTAAGTATTTCAGACACCTTCTTCAATACAGAGACAGAAGATTCATGTATCATACTTGTTAATAGTATTTTACATTGAATTCACAGATGCGTTAGCGAGCATTATAGAAAGAAAAGTGTATAATAAATAAAATATTACTGATGTGCAAATTACCATTACAGATATTAAGAAAAGAATTAGCCAAGATTATAATAAAATGGCTAATAGAATCATGAGATTTAGAAAAGATTTACATAGGTCTTATCAATTCTGAAATGCTTAACGCAAAGAACTGTATGATTAGATTAAACAATTAGAATCTGATAATTTAATCTTTTTTACGTTCAGTGCTACTGATTTACACAGACTTAAGTTTCATAGACTTATACCATCTAATAGTAATGGTAAAACTTCAACTAAACATCATCACTAAAATATCGTGAATAATCCTCACATCACAGTCTGATTTTCAATAAATAATTTAAAATATTCTTCAACGATATCTTAAAGAAATAATGGGATTTAAAGAATTGGTAGTATAAGTGTAAATAGTAATATTGCGGTAGTATTTACGTGCATAAAATCAGAAAAATAAGAAATGCATCTATGATTAAGTGAAAAGAGATAAAGGAAAATGAGAACAAAATGAGCGAAATTATAAAATATCTTGACAGTATAATCACAACTATTAATTTAGAACTCAATGCACCTATTCCTGAATGGCATTCATGCCAAAAAAATATGATGAATTATGTGATGATCAGCAGGATTATATCAATTTGATTAACAAATTGCAACATCATATCTAATATAGTCCTATATACTGTCTTCATATTAACTGAGAAGAAAAACAGCTTTACCAGTTCAGATATCTTAAAGAAATTAATGAAAAAACATTTGTGAGAAAAGATGATTATAGATAACCAGAGCTTATAACAAAAAGGAATGATCAATATACACTACCTGGAAATAAGTTTGCGCAGTTTTGAAAAAATAGTAAATAAATTTGTGCAGTTTTAAAAAAATAGTTTATTATCAGTTTTTTTTAACAAAATATTAATATCTAGTTGGCCAACCATTATTGGCAATACATGCTTTTATTCTTTGAGGCATACTATCAATTAATTTTAGGTAAGTTTCTTGCGAAATTTTTTCCATTCTTCTTTTAGTTGCACTTCTAAATCTGCAAGTTTTTTAGGTAGATCTGAACGGTTATACAACAAACATTCAAGATGATTCCAAAGATGTTCAATGGGATTCAAATCTGAAGATTGAGCAGGCCAGTTAATTAACATTTTAATTTTTTTTTTAGCAACCCATACTTTAACATCATTAGTTGTGTGAATGGATGCATTATCGTGCTGAAATTTGTAAGATCAGTTACGAAACTTTGAATCAATAAATGGCAACAGGTTATCATCTAAGATTTTTATATAATTATGCCGATTGATTATTCTTTCTATTTTCATTAAAGGACCCAATCCTTTGCCTGAAAAACATCCCTAAACTATGACTCCATCACCACCATGTTTAATAGATGGATTCAGGTTTTCAATATTAAAACGAGTGCCTAGTTCACGCCAAACTTGAGAAGGACCATCATTATGAAAAAAAGTAAACTTTGATTTGTCGTTCCATATGACATTTCTCCATTGTTATACTATTCAATTTTGTCTTTCTAAGCACTATTCTAGCCGTTTTTGACATTGATTTTCATTTAAAAATGGTTTTTTTGCAACTCGATAAGAATTGTATTCAATTTGATACAAATTTTTTCAAATTGTTTTGATACAAATATCTTAACCAGTTGTTGCTGAAAATTTCTTTTGTATTATATCAGCTGAAACTTTATTATTTTTTTTAACAATTTTTTTTAAAATTTTGCGATCTTTATCATCAAGTAACGGAGGCTGACTACTTCTTTTTTTGCTTAACATATTATCTGAATCTCCATATCATTGAATTATTATTCTAACTGTGAACTCTGGTCAATTCATAATTCTAACAATATCAGACTTTCTGTGGTTACTTTTATATAGTCTGATTATTTGTGCTTGTTCAATAATGGTAAGTTCAGGATTTTTATCCATTTTATTAGAAATAAGTTGTTAGATTAATTATCATTATGTTATATTTATTTATTTTTATAATTATTTTTATTTTGTATGTATTACAATAACAAACAGTTATATAAACAAGAATCAGGGCTTTCAATTAGTACTAAAATCAATTGATTTTATTATATACAATTTCGAATAAAATTCAAAAAACTGATCACGTAAATTTATTTTCAGGTAGTGTATATATAATATACAGTATATCAATTAGAATTATTTGGAATTATAATTGTAATACAATCTTACTTTTAGTTAGCAAGAGTTCTTTGAAGATAAATAGACTTATCACATGCAGAATGGAAAGTAAGCTACATCACTTTTCAACATATAACATCAGATATTAAATATACATACGTAAATTATACAAATTATAGTTAATTATAATGACGCAATTTAATCACCACTTCTACACTACCATAATTTTCAATAAAATATAGGCGAATAACACATAACAAAAAATAGAGATTTCTTTATTTAAAGCTTTATCTTTTCAAAATATACTGATAATATAATGATGTGTTATGATTTAATTCTGTAATAATCCTATTAGAAGAGAATACTTTTTAAATAATCTAAGCATTCAGGCTTATAGCTTTGTTAAGCATTATATCTCTATACCTATTTTTATATTATTATATGTATAAATATGCCTTTGATTTAAAAAATAAAAAACTTCTTTTCTATCAATAAATAGAAAAAATCAAAATAAAATTCACTTTTTTTTTGTTCATTTTAATCACTTTTATTAATGTTGCTTTAAGTTAAACTCAAAAACCTGTACTCCTTAGACATCAATTTCAAATTTAATTACTTAACTCTAATTTATTTTGAGCAATAAGTAAAGATGGCAAAATTGTTCTATTAAAATAACCTACTATATGAAAAATTGATAACAGTTACACTAATTATATTACTACCGTTAATTCAAATAATCAACGCGTCTAAAAGTTTAATTTAACAGTGTTGATAAACAACTCACTGCTGTTATAGATAATTCTTCAGGAGTATATTTAAAACAACTTTTCAATATATATCAATATGATAAACAAAATAATATTGTTGACATTACTTCCAGTAATTTTGATTCATTTTCATGTATAACATATAAAAGGATAGATATTTTTGCTGAAGACATCGAAACTAACATGACTTACTAAAGTCTACTATGAAAACTGATCTAAAGGAAATCTTAACCAGTTTCAACTTCTACAATAATGCTCAATCACAATGGATATCAAAATTGTAGTTTAAAAATTTCTTAACTATTCATTTTTTTATTTTTATATAATTGTTATCTACTATATTATATTATCATATATTATTAAATAAAATTTAACCTGAAATTAAGTTTTGAATTTTTAATATACACATACAATATAGTATTATTTTTACTGATTGCTAGTCTGAATGTATCAGTCATTTTTTTCATGAATTCCATATTTTTTTTTAACTATAAACTATATAATTGTGATCAAAAATAAGAAAAGTATGAAATATATTATTATTGGTGATATTAAGAAACTCACAATAATAGGAGTAGTTATGGTAAAGGTACTGCTTCTACGCTACCTACAAAATTATCAGGTCAAGAGTGAGAAGGTTTCTTTTAGAACTAAGTTGTGATAAATCATTCATAGGTGAGGGTGGATAATTTACTTCATTATGCGAAACGCCTCTTAGCCTTTTCTTAACACTAACTCTCGAAGATAAGAATTTTCCTCCATTACTTTTAATCATTCTAAAGAGCAAATATCTATTTCTTATTTGTACATGCTATCTGATAACTCTTTTCCTTTTTTTATACATTCTATTGTATATTCTTTTAAATTAAGATTCTTCTTTACCCGTTCTAATTTAAATTTAAAGAATCAATCTCTTTAGATTTATCCATTGCAGATGTATCTATTTAGACTGACTCTTCTATTACCCTTTCCATTATATTCAAATCATGATATATACACTCTAGATCTATGTCTTCTAACTTACCTTTTAATTCACGTATTTTAATTTCAAGAGAAAGGATTTTGATTTTGTCAACAGACAAAACTTTTTAGGTTAAAGTTAGCTCTCTTTTTAGTATTTTAATATTTGATTTGAATGATTGGATTTTGGCAGAATATTTAGCTTCAAACTCATGTTGACTCTCAGAATGAGACTTCTGTTCAGAAATAAGTTAGGGTATAACTTTAGCACTAGACACATTTAATTGGCTAATATTATTTCTAATATCAGCATAGGTTTGCTGATACTTCTTTTCTCATTCATTGTACAAACTCTTTTTTAACAACTTGTGCCTATGGCTCTTATTGGTCAAATTTTTGAAATAGCAGTAATCACGCTTTCTATACTTATCTATCAGCTTTTCACTAAAATCATTAATCTTAGAATTAAATTCAGTAATGGATCTTAATTTTTTTTGAGCTCTTGCTTATATGTATTATCCAGCCAATAACCAGATTTTTTATAAGAACTACTCTCTCTATCTTTTATATTATTCAATATATATACATTAGATATAATATTAGCATGATCATATATTAAAAAAAAATGCATAAATAAATTTTTAAGATAATAGACATAATCTGTTTATTCAGAATAATACATTCTTTCTGAATATCCTGTTTATTCTATATATCCTATACATCTAAAATATTATCTTTCTATATATCCTATATATCTTATATATTCAGAATAATACATTCTTTCTATATATTCTATTTAATAAATTATTTCAGAATATTATATTAAATATATAAAAAAATATTGCTACCATGCTTAGGTAATGCATGAGATGTGATATCCTTTCATTTTCACTAGCTGATTATGATTATATTATGTAATGTACTGAAAAAAAGCCTAAAGATAAAGTTTTAAAGGATTTAACAGATAAATATCACACATCACAAAAATATATTTATCAGATCTGAAGAGGTGAAGAAAAAAAATATGATTGTATAAAATCAACTAATTCATATGTTAACAGCTATTTTCCTGAAGGGACCGCTTTACTTTCTAATATAAATGTTGTGAACAGGTGAACTGAGTCAGAGATCCAAGGTCAAAATATTTCTCCATTTATAGAATTGAAAAAACAATTATGTAATGTTAAGATAGAGTCTAGCAAATCTATTGATTCAGTTTTAGAAGAAGATGGAAAGGGAAAAAAGACTGAAGGAAAGAAATCGAAGTCTAAATCTATCTTAGCAGAGCTAATTTTATCTTCCGTCTAGTCTCAACTGATTCCTATATTGTATAAGAAAATAGTTAAAAGAAACATAAAAAATATAATGAATATAAAGAATATATTAGAAAAATAATTCACCTATTTTCTAAAAGTTCATCATAGCGCGTCTGTAATCTTTCACAATACTCATTGATTTCTACATTATACTTAAGAGTATTAAATAGTATTTTTTCAAGCTCTTCATAACTCTCTTTTTTTAATATATCATTTTCACTTAAATCCTATGAAATTTTGTTCAGAATCAAGGAAGCATCACATTCAGAAGTAATGTTCGCGTAATTCACCTTGAGCTTATTCTTGACTTTATGCATGGTGACTAGAATAATTAAATCCTTGCCATTATGAGAAATCTTTAATTCATTTTTATCCTAATCAATTGCACATTTATATTTCTTAAGAAGAGGGTTCGAAAATATTAGCATTAGCTTAGAGTATTTTACAACTATAAAATCTTTATATATAGTAAATCTAAGAGCTAAAGTTATCAGTAAATTGTAAACTACTCCAATAGATTCAACTAATACAGTAGTAATACTACTAAGATCATATTTTATGGATTTGTCAATTCCATATCCTATATGCTTAATAATATCAGATATTATAATGCGAAGTTCAGCACAAGAATTCAGTATCATAGCTAGAATTTTAAGACATTTAATCTTGCATTTTATAGACGTAATGCTTGTGATAAGCTCCTTTTTTTGACAAAATCTATCTTTATAGATTTATCCAAAATATTCTCTTTATCTAAATTTTGAGCTAAGGCAGGTATACATTTTTTAGCTTGCTGAATTATATACGAAAAATAATTCTCAAATTCAATCTGAATGATTTTGCAAATAGTTTCTTCTAAAGTAAACCACTTAGTACTTTGATTATCTTTCTCTGATAAGGTATTATGTGTAGAAAATGTATTAAAATCTTGCTTTATCTTACAAAACTTAGATTTACTAAAGACCTTAAACTTTGAGAATTTATCAAGATACTTATGTTGCTTAGCATAATTCATTTTTTTTTCCATTTCATAATTTATGTATACATACATATCATAGTTTTCAGAATCTGAACCAGCTGAAGAATTATTAGAGTTATAATCATTATTCTCAAGTTTTGATGTATTATCATCAGAAATAATAGGATCAGACTGTTCATCTACTATAGCATATGAACTCAACCACTTCTAGATTTAGAATCTTTAGCAAGTTTAGCTAATAAGGTTTCAATTTGTCTTAATCTTTTTTTCAATCCTCCAAAAGGTAAGAACTCTGAGTATTGATGCTAAGATATTTTAGCACCTTTGGTATTTTTTCTAGCAAATTTGGCTAAGTGAGCTTCAATTCATTCTAATTTTTTTTCAATTCTCCATTATTATAGTCTGAGAATTCTGAACACTGAGTTAATTTGATATCTATGGTATCTTTTCTTATGAATTTGATGAGTTTGGCTAAATTAATTTTGATTATTTCTAATCTTTTTTCTAATTTTTGATTAATATAATTATCAAAGATAGAAGCATTATTTGAATTAACTACATTTTCTGGTAGCTATAAACATTAGGCAAGCTTAGAATACACCTGCATTGATTCTGCTAACTGTACTTTCAAAAAAGCTATTTTGGAATTTAACATATCGATCTTAGCTAAAGTAACTTCCTGAGGACTAACTTGATATGAGAGTTGAATTGGAATATTTACTTGTCCTTCAATTTCTAGCTATATATTCCTTAATTCTGTAAAAAAGCATTTAAATTAACAGAGTTGGTTATCCTAATTCTCAAATACATATTAATAGATATATAATCATAAAGATATGGTAATACATCTGCAAAAACTATACCCTATATAAATGGTTTAATTCTTTTCTCATAACTTTCTGGTATATTTGTTGGATAGAAATTTTTGCTTATAAGAGCTTTCAGAATAATCTAATTTGTACTAATCATTACTTCCTGATATTTATCTTGTAGCCAATTTAGAAACTCTGCCTTATTGTTTATTGAATTATTACTATTATATGAATTCTAAGCAGGAACAGGATGGAATCTCTTAAACATCTTACTCTTCATATTATTAGTTCTTATGATAGTATTAAAGCCAATGATAGTCATAGATTGTGCTATTTTATTTATATTTCTAAATTTTACATAATATGTATCTGATAGTTTTTGCTTATCATAATCTGAAAGAGAAGCAAGATATAATGTTAATGTTTGCATAATATGGGGCCTTTGCAATAGAAAGGGAGGAAACTCAAAAAAAAATAAAAAATGAGTTAATAATAAATCTAAACAAATTATAGTATTTGAAACATTTTTGGCTTATAAACTAAAATTTTAATTTTTTTGGAGTTTCCTCCCTTTCTATTGCAAAGGCCCCATTTGTTCTATAGTGGTCATATATTTATTGCTGTAAATTAAAAATATTTTGGTTCTAAATCTGTATCTGATTTTGTAAATTCCTATAATATTTCTTCTATTTCAAATGTTAATTTTACGAATCTGCATATGTTCTTCTTCATCTTTTTATATTATTATTATATTTTAAAGTCCACCTATATGCAGTTCTCCTATACTTAGCAATTTGAGTATTTTTACATTGAATCAATAATCAAAAAGCAAAATATTCTCGTAATAATTTACTAACATGCCTATACTTATCTTGATATGAGAAATACCAATGATGAGATTCTTTTTTTTTATTATTATAAGCCAGAATAGTCATATTCTGCTCTTCTTGAGCATTATCTTCCCTTATAGCTATATTTCTTTCTATCATAATTCTTTTGACCTGAACGTGAGATTCATTTAATAAATATTATAACTGTAAATTCTGATTTCTGCTATCATTTAACTGATTTTTAAGATCATTTACCTATCAAATTGAATCATTAATAAGTTCTGATATTAATTCTTTT